CAAGAGGGGGAAATTTCTTCAACTCTATTTTTCTTCTAAACTAAACAAATCTCTTTGTCCCCCTTAATGGAGAAAATATTCTAACATTAAGTAAAAAACCCCAAATTTAAAGCTTAACGACTATTAAAATCAGTCAACCTCCTCCCACTTTCCACAGCCGTCTATTAGCAGAACTTTACAATAAAAGATAAACGCATTTGTGCATTTGGCAATTCCTTGTGTGCATTTCTGGGAAGGGGGCCGTGTAAATGAGTAGCCACCTGATTAGTAACAGTAAGCAATAGCCTACTATCACCAAAGATTAACATGCTGTCACATGAAGTCTGCTCTGCACGTCTCTTCTTGGGTAAGGTGAGCAACTGTTGCTCGAAAACATATAGCTGTCTCTGTACACTGTTATTAATTGCCAGTCTTAAGAGTTGCTCATAAAAATGTATGAGCATCCAGCACAGTGACTCAAACACCTTTGGCCTGTACCTATTGACCTTCTCAACTGAGAATCATAGCTGGAAATTGGAGATTCATACCAAGAACATGCAGCTACATTGAAGTTACACTTCTCCTCCTTCAGCAATTACCTTTTTATGGGTTTTTAAAATGCACGGCCTTTACTCAGTGAAGACCATCCAACCTGATAGTTTATCAAGCCTGTATACCAACGCTTTTGTTCATTTCTCCCAAAACCATTGAACAAACTAGTAACTGCTCTCACTTACATGGCAGTTAGACAGCAAACCATTACACAACAGATTCAGTGCAACATTTGAATGCTCAGCTTTTGCCAAATGTCAGAATAACACTGACACCTCTTTACTGGCTGAAAGTAGTATTTACTACTCAGGATTAACCCTCTGCTTCCCCCCAGGCCTGGTCACTTGTAATAGACACAGCTCAGACCAAAGCAAGTATTGTCCATTCTTTGAGTGGAAACTCAAACAAATCTAAGTATTTTGAAGTCCTGAGCTGGCCACTGTTGCCAATCCTCTTAAACCCCATTTATTCTGTAAGTAGGGCTTACAATTTTTGGACTGATCTGGAGACTTTGCACAGGCAAAGCTGTACATGTACTTCTTTTCCTCCTTGCCACCACCAAACTATCACAGCTGAAACCTGCAGCATCACAAAATGGCAGGTTGCACACTTTTAGTACTGTTCCATGGTTTCTGTTGCAATCTAAAACCCTACACTTAAAAAGAAATGGATGGGACTTTCCCCACTGGCTGCAAACCTGGCTGTGTAGGAAGCTCCCTCCAGTCCCCAGAGAGCAAAGGTGTTAATTACTGACAAAGTACCTATAAAGACCAGTTGGAGCCATTTGAAGCCAAACAGCACTAGGCCACAGCGTTCAAAAGCCTGGTCCATCACGCAAAGTATCTAATTTTCTGATTTTCTGAACAAAACCTGCAGCATTATATTAAATCAGCATACTTTCACGAGAACCGCAATCTCTTTCCTCCCATCATGATGCTCTCTTTACAGCATGTGTGGCTCTTCAATCAAGTTATGTTACTAGGAAAGAGGTTGAAACTGAAAAAAAAAAAGATGTGATAAACCTGGAGCAGTGCTTGGTTGGGGGTTCTACTGTTGGGTTACGCAGCTTGGCATGTATGTGTGAAATACGGAATACTTGGCAGTAATCCCTTCACTGGTCAACAGGCAGGCTGGTAGGGATTTACCTCCCCCACAGATGCTTGTCAGCACCTACCTGTCTACAACTAAGTCCTCTGATCAGTAACTCACTGGGAGCATCCACTGCCTAGTTTTGACCTAAGGAAAATCTACACTAGAGATGGCTGGCATGGCCTTGTAAGACCACAAGGCAATGCTAACTGCTAGCAAACGAACCGTCCACTCAGCTTGCTACGAGAATTGGCACTTCCTATTCATCCAGTTTCAGAGATGATTTGCACGAGAGCCTGGAAGAGTTTGGATCAACTATAAATGCAAATTACACACACGCATGCTGCACACACACATGAGTCTATCTCCCTATTCCATTTATATAATGTGTCCTGCTCTAGCAGGGGGGAAAATGCTGCCAGATCAGTCCACTGAACTGACCAACTTGGGGGCCAGAAGATTGTCAGACACAACGGCTGGGAAGGAGAGGGAAGAAGAAACTGGGAACAGACTGTTTGCCTCCACAGTACCAGCCTGCCGTTACACTGAAGAAACGCAAGGTCAAACCAGAGCCTTAAACTGCTAAACAAACTGGAGCCCCTTACAACAGCCTCCCTTATTTACTATGCTTACTTGCTTAGCACTCTTTTTGTTTCCATTACTGGTGTGAAATAGAGGTGACCTATTCCCCTAGATGACAACAGGTTCAAGTTTCCAAAAGAAACATTCCTGCCATACCCCCCCCCAAACCCCACCCATAAAAAACTAAACAGTAACATACATATATGCACAGTTCAAGCACCGCAGGAAACCTGGTACTCAAAACACACTGTATTATATATAGCAAGTTCCAAACACGTATGCTTTGCTAAGTGCACCAATCCCTAAAATCATTTCACTGCATATACCACCAGCTATATACCACAGTATTTTGAGAAGACAAATACTTGTTTTGGGGAGGGGAAAAAACTGCACGCAGTACATGCTAAAGCTACAGTGTTTAAATGTGTATTTTAGTACAAGAGTGTCATTAGTTGTACACACAGCTGAACAGACAATTGAAAAGTTTGATTTTGAGGAAGCCCGGGGGGAAGACAAGGAGGGCACAATTTCTCAAAACTTGATGAGCTGAGGCAGTGAACCCATAGATCCCATTTCAGTCCCATCCCCCCTCCTCATCCTCCTGCATATCCTTTGTCCACCCAGTATTCCTGGCACAACTCTATGCGGGATCCCAAGATGACCTGGATCAAGGAAATATTACGTATTCAGCTAGACAAAACGAAAAAAAAACCTAAAAGGAAACAAGAGGAAGACATCAAAACACTCAATATGCTGCAATACGGCTTAAGAGAAGGAGCCCAGAAGAGGTCTGTCTGCAAAGAGGAAGCTGGGGGAGGAAAAATGTAGATAAAAGTCTGTGTTGGGTGTAAATGGAAACAAAACAGGAACGTTCTCCTTCACAGCAACTGCAGCAACAAATGTAATATTATGTCAACGGTTCACGATGCATGAAGAAGAACTGAAATGATGCTTTGTCTTCCACAAAAGCCAAAAAGATATTTTTCATCTTAGCTTCTGTTTTGGGGTTTTTTGTTTTGAACCTGAAAAGTACCAAAGGCACTGAGTTCCCTATTACTAGGCCTGAATCACCCAGCTGCTTCTCAAGTGTCTGAATTCCCACAGCCAAAAACTAGCAAATATTCCTCCAAAAAAATTTCGCATGCTATACTCAAATGCAGTTTCTTGGGACAGTGATGTAGCAATCCCACTCATTTCAAAGCTGGACTGCGCAGGGCACCAGAAGCAGGGACAGCGTAAGGGCCAAGCCCTCCTACCCCTTGCCAGCCCCAAGAGAGGAAGGTGATGTCCCCTTGGTTGCACCGGCGGCTGCTCCTGCAGCCGTGCTGTGAATAAGAGATAAAAACCCAAGCAGATTAAAAATAAAAGAACCCTGGCAAAAAGTCTCAATCCGTCTTCCTCTCGCTATTATTTTTAATCCTAACCAGCTCCTTGAACCTACTCATGGTATGACCCTGCAAGCGGTTGTGTCAGCACAGCTGAGGAACGAGGGGACAACGCAAGTGCAGAGGGCGGCAAAAATTCCTTAAGATAACGTGCAAGCAACAGTGGCAACGCCGTGAAACAATGATCACTGTCTCCCAGGATCAACACCTACAGTGGATGTCAGCTAAATTTCTAAGCAGAAATCATTTTCAAGCCTTCGTTATATCTCATAAAGCAAAAAATACACACACAAATATTTTTCTACTGACCAGCAGTAGGATGCAATAAGCCTTACAAAATTTCTACCAGTACAGAAGATAACACAAATTTTATTCTGATACACCAGAGGAGCTAAGTGGGCATATTAACTAGACTTTGAGTTTGTTGCTCGGAGGGTAGAAAAGGTTGTGGGGACCAGGGGTGGGGGACATGGGAACAAGAACAGGGGGGTGTCCAGGAAAACACCACTCTCCTCACCCCATCGGGCTTCTCAGGGGAATCATAAGGTCACACAGAAAACAGGAATACTTTTTTTGTTTGAAAAAGAACTTTATTTTACAGTTCATTTTGGCTTGGGACTAGGATGCAAGGAGTGTGAAGGAAAAAGGTTGAGAAAGCATTTTCCATTTCTCTCTTTTAAATGGCATTTTTCAGACAGCCTGTTTTGGTTCTTACTTCATACAGAGGACAACTCCCAGCCTCCTGCATTCTCAGCATATTTTCTGTAATATGCTTGAGTCCTACGATTTTAACCCACATTTTGCACATTCAGAATAAAAACTCGTAAGAGTTCAACAAGGAACTCATAACTGACTTCTAGGAAAGAGGAGGCAGCTTGCTACAGCAGTATCTCAAAGTAGTCCTTTGCAACTGATACCCACCACACTGCCTTACTATACAGTTTCTCTTCTCCGAAGCATGTTTTATTCTTTTTTTTTTTTTTTAAACTTCACATGGTTTCATTCACAGAAAATTAAAAATACCAACAGTAACACTAACTACTTTAGTGATGCTTTCCTTGAAATTACACACACATACGTATTGACACGTCCCTGAGAGGCCAAAGCCAGGGAGGAGGAGGGAGGGCAGGAGGGGAGAGTCTTAAGGCATTTAATTTAGCAATCACGTACTGCAGAACAACAACTGCTTTTCCATGCTTTCCAAAACAACAACAACAACAAGAACCATCTATACCGATGGATGAAGCAAAATTTACTATATCCTCACTGTTACTAGAAGGACTCCACACTGGAAAGTCTGTTTCTGGTAGGGCAGTATGTGCAACCGTACCCTACTAATAACGTAATCACAACCTTATAGCACAAAAGGGACAAAGCAGAAAGGCTATACTTTAATCATAATGCACTACTGACCTTTTCCTCGAGGGCCCTTCTTCAAAATCTGAAGAACTAACATCGTTGCTCGTTGAGGACACTTGCGATGCATCGTCCTTCTCATTCTCCAGCTGTTCTGATCCCGGTCCTAATCCTTTAGATTGGCCATTAGTGAGAAGTCCTGCAAATGTGACAAAGTAGTACACAATATTCAAAACCTGCATTACCAGTGCCAAATGGATTTTAGAAAAATTCACGTGACACTAACAGTAGAGAGCTGACGCCCAAAGCAACCATGTTGCAAAAAGATATGCTGATAACATTGATTTTACATAGAGGTATCCAATAAGAACCTGCCTGATTGTGTTTTTCCAGTTTGGTTAACTGTGAGCCCCCAGTCCCAAATAACTACACTACGGGTGTTTTCAATTGTATTTATAATCTTGTCACATCCCTTACTCAAAAAGGGACACAGCTTAGAGTCATAAACTCATCCCTGTTTTACAGAACTCCTGTTGACTGGCATAGATGAGAGCCTTTTGTATTTCTCTGTAGATCAATATAAAATTAAGCTGCTGTTTGGTCAATTTGTCATCATCTTGCTCTTCATTCTGCTGCTTCCAACTATTGCAATTTATGATCCTTTTTAAAAAAAATCCTAAATCCCAAAGAGGAACATCAAACGCCTGTTTCTCAACTCTGATTCTTCTAGCCAAATGTCACTCAACTACAGAAACTCCAGACTGCCAGTAAAGGTACACAATGCAGGGAAAATGTTTGCCACAGCTGCCTTCCCTTTTGTGCCTTTTCGCTCCTGGAGGAATACTACAGTAAGCAGAGTCACATAGATGGAAGAAAGCATTGGGCCCTATACAAGCATAATGTTTAACAAATTTTGCATATTCTACTCAAATGACTAATATAATTTGACTCTTACAAACAACAGCAGACAGACAGTGAAGCTGCTCAGACTTAAGGAAGAATTAAAATAGTAACATACTCTTCAGTAGGCTTTGGGATGAGAGGGAGGAAAACTACTAAGAATTTTATCAGCTCAGTATCTGCTTGGTGTTTTAAGAGCTTATTACCAGAGAAGCTGCAATTTTATCCAGGAGAATGCCTTCCCGTCTCTCCACCAAAATACTTTTGCAAATGGCATAACAAAGCTTTGTTTCATAGCTATATTTCCTCAGAGAAACACTGGTAGGAGGACTCCCCTCCCTTGGTCATCTCAGTACCCCTTTCTATAATTGTACCTTAGAAAGAAAACAGGGAGGGGGCTGACCCCTTCCAAGATAAGCCAGGCAGCGAGGCTTAGGAGTCCTAAACCAAAAATGCTTACTAATAACAGCAGTTCAAAACTTTCCACCTGTGCTACATCAGTGCTACACCATTTCAGACCTCTGTTTTCAGGAAAATCACCGTTTAGCACCATCAATGCACTTACTCATCACATAACCGAGCATTCAACCAAGCTCAGCTTCAAAGAGACACCGAAGCATAACCAGAGCAAGCTGTCTGCTCTAAGTACTGGCACCTCGGCCACAGCCACGGCCAAACACTCCCTCCCCGCAAGGCCATTTATTCACTGCTCGCTTGGGCACCACCACTGAGCGCAATACATCGTCTGCTAGTGGCCTCTCGAACCTTTCAGCACTTCCGATTCCAATCTAATCGCTCTGATTGCCCGTTTTTAAACAGCCTAATCCAAAGTCTGCATCATATCACTACATCATATCGCTCTCTTCTTTTTCCAATCAAAGTTTGCTCTTACTCATTCTGAACAACACCAAATTTCTCTTGACTTAGAGTCAGAAGTGGCTACATGGCGGCCACATGCTGCAGTTTTTGTATGCTGTTTTTAAAATACTACCTACAAAGCAGAAGCCTGGATTTTTTTTTGTGGGGAAGATGCAGTGAACTGATAGCTCAATTTTTTTATTCCTAATATGGAGCACACAAAGCAAAAGTTGAAACTAAGCACCAATTTTTGCATTAAAATGTCTCTTCTAGCCAGCCTAAGACTGGCAGGGAGAAGTTAAATGACCCAATTTACATTTTCACTCCCCTTTTGTTAAACTCCTTTTGACACTTCCTTTCCATTACAGAGATCTCAAACTGTGACTCAACAAATAATACAAATTTCAGTATCAGCACATGATACTACAACAAGGTTTGTAATGTAACACAATGATATGACGGGGGGTGACAGCATCCCTTCAAAGCATTCCCGAGAAAATGAAGGCGACCTTTTAAAAAACATTAAATACATTCTATTTCTATGCTGAATTCACCCTCACTAGAAGCCCTAGTGCCCAAGTTTATTCTTAAAAAAGTTTCAACTTTTGCTTTGTATTTTCCTTGAAACCACTGCTGATAAAATTTACAATTTTTAAACTCCAGAGAAGTCTAAATCAAGCCTATCATTTGAGGCCTGATACTCAGTAACTTAACTCTTACGGCAGAATTTGATTAGGTTTTCCAAAAGCAATATTTGTTCTGGAGACTTGCCATACGTAAAACCCAGTAACCTGAAGCATATGAGTCAAGAAAATCACCTTTTGGGCTGTCAACTTGCACGCACTTGGAAGGCAATTTTTTATTCATCCTTTCACCCTGCCAAACCATCAGTGGATGTGGAAGACAAGCATGATTTGTGTCCCTTAAGGAAAAATGTAGGTTTGTCTACTATTATTCATCATAACCAGCACCATCCCAAAACACAATAATACTGCAGATAACTGAAGTTAGCTATCGTCAGCTGAAACCAATTAAAACAAGTGCCCTAAAACAGAGCCATAAAACTACAAATGAGAGATACTGATAAATAATGGGAATGGGTGTCACGTTCTACAGGTTTTCAGGGCCAGCATAATTGCAAAATCCGCTCCGAAGTGATGAAAGGTACAGACAGCCACAGTCCACAGCCTCCTTCTAAGCACTGGAGAGAAAGCACATGCTGAAGTAGGCTGTTATAAAGTTTATTGCCACTCAATCATTTTTATATCAAATGCATTCAGTTTGCCCCCAGATACCTCTTCCTTCAAACACCACTCCTGCTATCTATAACTGTGATAAACCACATTCTTTTCTGCTGTGCATCAATTGGCAGCTATAAAGGGTCTGGAGGCCCCAGGATGGGGTGGGGACCCCACAGTCGTGCCAAGTGACACTTGGGCACCCCCATCACCATTAATGAGTTGGCACTGGTGCAACTGACGGGACATACAGGTCTGCCGGTGCACTGCAGGAACAGAGTCCAGCGCACATTCATTCACGTGGGTTGACTCTCCGAAGTTAACCAAGTTGCAGGAAGCAGCAAGCATTCGTGTTTCTTAAAAGCAAAGTACTGCAATTGTGTACGTATGTAAAGAGGGAAAAGCAACCGTGCGAGAAAATGGTCTTTTGCATAGTCTGAAGAGCTGAACCACTCTTCAGTCTTGGCTACTTCAGACCACCCAGCAACGGTCAAGGAACCAGCAAGCCATCAAGAGCCAAATATAATCAAAGGGACAAATAGGTCCTTTACTGCTTTTCCATGGCACATGGCAAAGCCTGTGACCGCTTACATTCTCAGCTGCTGGAGAGCTAGCAGCGTCTGCCTGTCCCTTGCCCACTGGGCTCATCTCAGGCTCAGCTCTCACTGCCTTCTCCCCTGGCAGCTGGACTCGTGACCAACCACAAGGCCCGAATAACTAGGCAGAATAAATCTGGGTTGATAAAAATAGACTTTATTCCTGTAATATGAAGTGTTTGTTTTAAAAGTCAAATTAGATTTTTTAATATTTTAAAAAAACTAAACCTCATTAAAATTAAATTTGAAAGTACAGCAACTTGGATTATAAGTCAGTGTAGGATTTCATACATTAAAATGACTTACATAAAGTAATAATTTATATATAGAGTGAAGCAGTGCATATTTGCTGCCAAAGTTTAAAAGGAACTGAAACACTGAATGGCTCAAAGTCACTGAATAAACACTGCTTTAACTAAGTCACTAATAACGAATTATTTAATTAAGTCAGAAATACAGTAACTCACATATCAAATGACATCTGTGGTCCCTTAAATACACTGTCCTGGCTCTGACTGATCAAGACTAGATACTTTAACAGAAAGGCCAAGTACTAATTCCTAGTAATTAAGAAGGGTAACTTAAAACTGAAACATGGAGATCTTAACATCCTTTCTAAAAATGTATCTTAGCCACATAAATGTCAACTTCACAGTTTTGCTGAATTCTTTTTTAAACTTCTGCATAAGCTGCAATAGCAAACTGCAATTTTATTTACATGCTACTTAAAAAGACAAAAAAAAAAAAAATCCACTTATCAGCTTCTAACTGCATTGAGAAAAAGCAGCAAATGTGAATATTACGTCCACTCTGTTACAAGTTGGGGAAAGCAGAAAAGCCCTTTCTGCCCTCTGCACCCCAGTCATTATTAAAGAGACTTCTATCACCTCCTTTTTATTTGCCTTCCACACTCTGAATGTTTTCAAATCCGTCTGTGGCTACAACTTTGTTTGTTTTTTCACACGCAGGAAGGGCTCTACAATGAGCTGAACTGTACCCTCTAGGGTGATCCAGACAGAATCCGGATATCATGGCTTTACAACCCTTGCAGAGCGTGCTCCCTCTTGTTCCCACTGCATCTCACTATCCCTTTTGCTCCTTGATTGTGGTTGTTAACTGAGTGGAGATCTTACTGAGCCTTCTCCAGCAATGGCCATGTCCCTTTCACCAAAAACAGTGTGTGTAAAGAACAGTTAAATCTGCTTAAATGAGCTTACTTCAGGGGGCTTGCACTGACTCAAGCGAATCGCTTTTCATAATAGTCTAGCAAGTAAGACTTACTATTCCAGTGCAGGCAGGGCTTAATTTATATTGGTACAGATTCGCTAACCTTACCATTTTTGGCGCTACACACACACACTTTTAGCAGCAATCTACAACTCTATTCTCAAGCCATGATCTAACCCATCTCTGGTCATCTGGAGAGATGGCTGACAGGCATGTGCAGGGCAAGTCTTGGGAGCACCTGAACACATCATGCAAAATCACAGTACCTTGGAATGCACCATACAATAAAACACTGTGTAAGTATAAATACATAGTATGAAAACAGAGGAGGAAAAGAGAAGCAGAAAGCAGCAACATAAGGGAAGACGGAAAAAATGCAA